TTCAGAAATAGAGAGGAACCGACGAAGATAACAGGCTGGAGCGTCAGAAATAACTGGTCTACCCTCTGCAAAGTTACAGCAACCTTTTAACTTTGATACTTTTAAATATTTTCTGCTATTTTACATCCACACCACGTCTTCCACAAGATTAAAGGAAAAAGACTCATCCAGGTGCTGATTTCACTGTTTTTAAAACAGCTGCAAACACTGGTGGTGTCATGGCTGCCGTGCCTTCTGTTAACTGTGTGTATACATGCACGTCTTGCTACTAACTGAACTTCCATTTAGTGACAATAGCTTCAGACACGTTTCTTAAAACCACTTTAGAGTCTACATCGGTTTAGTGTCGGTCCCAAGTGATCACAGAGACGAATGAGCGTTAGAGGACACTCCAATCCCACTCATTGATTTGTAATTGTGCCCCCCAGGATGATTAAGGAAATTCAATACTGCTAAGGGCTATTCAATTCCAGGTAAAGTAAACAAAATTTTCTTGGCTGCCTGAACTTAAAAACAAATTGTCGTGAGGAGACAAATCAAGCTATTACTTAAATGGCTTTTGGCTTAACATCCCTAAAAGCAAAGTGAGTGCAAGGATATATTTGCAGAGTGTTCAAGCGTGACGCAAAATGAGGATTTTTCTTTCTTTTTATTCAGGTTGTTCGAGCCCACAGGTCCAAAACGCCCCTTACTTAAGCTTAAGAAGCACGAGAGCTAACTTTTGACTCATTTCATCACTTTAATGCAAACTCGAGTTTAAGAACTGTGTCCATTTGTAGCAGCAAACCAACAGTGCTTTTTGCCTCGCTTATATTCATTAACTGGCCTAATGTAAGAAACCACACAGGAAAAGTATTAACAACGTGAGCAACAAATTACAGTGTTTCCGAGCTGCGAGGGGAACTTCAGCTAACAGGAAACTATGAAGACATTCCTCAGAGCAGCCTGTAATTGACGTGCTCACTGAACTGCACTCACGCTTTGAAACACAGCTGTTGAGCTGCTGTAAACAGACGAGGATTTATCCGCGGCACTGTGGGAAATCCCAACAATCCAAGAGCTTGCCTCGTTTTCTGCGCTCGGTTGTCTCGTGTGGCTCGTCTCCACAAACTGCTTGGAAGTTGGAAGTTTCGGCCAGAAGCAACAGTGTACTTCAGTTGTGAATATAGCGGTAAAGCTCTGCATTTTCATTTCCTTCAGCGATGTGCTGACTGTTCACATCAGTCCAAATAAAATCTCTGCAAACCTGAATAAGTAAAGAAGAAAGCGGTTCATAAAAGCACTCATCGCTTCATCACTTCTCACTTACTGCTGAAATATTCATTAGATAACATTTTGTTCTTCATCAGTGAAGTATTTGAGGGGCGCTCCACATTCTCATGTGTCAGTCCATGAATGAATATTTGGACAATGACAGGGTTTGATGTTGCCTCTTTACACCGCAGTGGAATTTAAATCAAACATTCAACATCTGAGTGCTGCTGTGATTCAACAGGTTTAATAAAAATATTGCATTAACTGTTAACCATAAACCACTTTTAGACATAGTCCTCCTTTCTCAGAGGCTCAATAGCAATTGGACGATCACTGATGAGCAGTTTCACGGCCAGGTGGGGACTGCTCCCTCATTATTTGATGACAAATTAACTTGATTCAAAGTATTGAAATCACATTTGGTGTCTGAGAGACAAAATATGAATCCCATACAGTCTTAATAAGGAGGAATGCCATTGGTGAGCTGAGCAACACCAAAATGCCTGAAAGACCACAGAAGATAACTAAGTGGATGATCTCAGAATGATTTACTTGGTTAGGATTTAATGGCTTAATGACTTAATATCTAATGCAACAAAGGTATGCATGTCACTATCAAGACAACTTCATGAGAATTTACAGCAAAGGGCAAACACTCAAGAACAAGCAGGCCAGACTAGACGTCTCCTGAAAACATCTAAAGGTGTCAGCACACCTCTGAGATAAGATCTTCTCTGGAGAGATATCTGTAAATGTTGAGTAGTGTAGTGTGTTTGATAGTTGAGGCCCTCCGGTTTGCCTTTGGAGCCCCAGTAGTGTCAACCAATCAAATTTGAGAGGTTGTAGCAGGTAAATCCAACTATCAACCAAACAAATATCAGCTCAGAGTACAAAGCGATCAAAGCTACTACCAGTGGGAGTAGTGGGTTTGAGTCATCAGACAACATCTGTGCTATTTATGGAGCTAAAAGATGGTTAGAGGTTGCTGATGACTTAGCACACTTCTCATTTAAACATCCGGATCCACAAAAACCAAGATGGTGAATTAGCAAACCACAGGTTGAAAACTAATTGTTCTCATATAACAATTAGTATAAATCAGGACTAAAAGGGGGAAAAACACAATACATACATCAATAGAAAATGTGTTCAAATGGTGCTGTAGGCTTTAAAATGGAAAAGTCGACTAGCTTTAAGCAGATCCCATCAATGTTTTGCTTCTAAAGCAAAACCATTCCTACTGACGCGCTCACAAAGCCTCTCTGTGTCACGCAAGTAGTTAAAATCCCACCTTTATGTAAGCAGCAGCTATAAAACCACACTGTGTGTTTTACCCCATTCAAAGGTGAAAGCAGCTCCAGCAGATGAAAAGTGAGCTGAAGAGAAAGTAGAGCTGAACCAAAGAAACAGCATTGTTGGCAAAAGATCTGCCTGTGTGACAGGCACCGAGAACAAATACCCGACTCCCTGCCAGCTACTGAATGCAGTATGGTCAGCGGGCACAAGGACTGAAGGACTGAGTAAGAAGATAGCAAAGGGCTGATTGTTGTTAACAGGACATATTTCAGAGCACAGCACATACGAGGGAGGCAAATAAAATCAATTACAGTCTCTTCATTGTTGTCCTGCTTTACATTTGGAAAAAAAAAAAAAAAATCCTCGTAGCATTCTGGGAAGGACAGTCTGTTGGTAGGTAGGTGATAATTATTCTCACTTGACTCGACTTCCCCTTCAAACCTTAATCCCATCTTAAAAATTAGTCCATTACACGCACAATTTCACACTGGAAAAAAACCAGCCATCTACACGCACACCTACAAATTCCACACATGCTTACACAAGTCTTAATTCATTTCAAGCTCAAATTAAGGGAAAAACCTTTGAAAGACTTTTCAGTGTTAAGCCAAAACACCAACAGTTACACTTGGATCAAGTGTCTGATTTTCAGAAGTGTAAAACATTGGATTCACTTATTGTGGGAAACAGAAAAAGATACAAATGTACACAATCCTTTAAATCTAAAATTCTATTCAGTTCAATCCAATTTTATTTATACGGGGCAAACCACAACAACAGCCGCCACTCTAAGGTAAAAATCTAACATTATTAGACAAAATTCCAACAATCTTCTATGAGGATGGATTATGTGACAGCAGGAAGGAAAAACTCCCTTTTAACAGGAAGAAACCTCCGTCAGAACCAGGCTCAGGGAGGGGCGGGGCCATCTGCTGTGATTGGTTGGGGTGAGAGAAGGAAGACGGGATAAAGACATGCTGTGGAAGAGAGTCAGAGATTCATAACAAGTGTGATTCAGCAGAGAGGTCTATTAACACAGAGTGAGTGAGAAAGGTGACTGAAAAGGAAAAACTCAATGCATCATGGGAATCCCCCATGCCTATTGCAGCGTAACTAAGGGAGGATTCAGGGTCACCTGATCCAGCCCTAACTATATGCTTTAGCAAGTTTTAAATCTAATCTTAAAAGTAGAGATAGTGTCTGTCTCCTGAATCCAAACTGGAAGCTGGTTCCACAGATGAGGGGCCTGAAAACTGAAGGCTCTGCCTCCCATTCTACTTTTAAATGCTCTAGGAACAACAAGTAAGCCTGCAGTGCGAGAGCGAAGTGCTCTAAAGGGGAGATATGGTACTACAAGGTCATTAAGTATGGCTGAAAGGACATGCTATATGCCCCTATCTTTAGTTCTCAGGTTCCACACAGACATAGATTGTAGGAAAACCACCAACACCACGGCAGAATCCATGTATTCAAAATGCGGATTGGTTTAAAATCACAAAGGAGAACAACCTTTGCTTTTAAGGGTCTGTTTCACTTTACTACAAAGAAGTTCTTTGCATATCATGGCGTATGTTTTCTCTGCAGCAACAAGAACACAAACAGAATTAAGCAACTGCCGTATATTTCTGAGAGTGGCAGCTACAACTTGTAGATGTGGGTCTGCAAATTGCTGCAAACAGCACCTACAGTCTACCAACGGGACCTTTAGAGTAAAGGAGGGAAAAGCCTTGCATCATGGAGGGCCTACCCTTCACACAGTAGGTGCAAATGCCAGATCATGAATTTCAAACACAGACTCCTCAGTTCTGATATCAGAAATGTATGAAGCCAGGATGTTTCCAGCGCTAACCAGCAGTTCAGTACACAGAATAAACAGAGCATAAATCCAGCTTTCAGGTTGTTTAATAAGTTAGAGCAAAAACTACAATTCATTCAATATTTAGGATTCAACTAATTAACATTTTCATGATTAATTGCTCTGCTCATTACTTATTTATGAAGCAACTAATTGTTTCTTTTAGAATTTTATGTTTAATATCCAGTTTACTTGTCACCCTAACTGTGACATTTGTTAAAAAGATGTCAAATCCTGTGTTATAAAACAAATTGTTCAGTTAGAAAATCTGAATAGTTGCACATTAACATTCTGTCGATTCAGAGTAAATATTTCATTACTACTAATGCAAATAAGGGCACGATTTGTTGTTAAAAAGAGTTAAGCTTTGGCTTTGATTCGTGGATTTTACAATTTGTTTTTTTCGGCTTTCACCAGGCTTAAACGTAGTTAGTGCTAATGACTATTTGATCTGTTTCAAAAGTCAAAGTGAGCGATGGCTGGCGTGTTAATTAGCGACCATGACCCACAGCAGCAGAAATATCCTTTCTGGCCTCGCAGGTACCGCCTCTCCTGAATTATAGAGGAAGCTAAATAAAACATTTAATACACTCACCTCTGCATGTCTGCATGTCATCCAGGAAGCTGCGCGTGGGACACCCAGCTGTGCAGACGCTGTGCTGAAGGTGACTCGATTGCGGAAGAAGAGCTTCCTCCGGTTTGAGGCAGCCGAGGCAGTCTGAGGCCAGGGGTCCCACACAAGAACGGCAGGAGGGATGACAGTCTGGGCGCGAGGACAGACAACATCACAGAGAGGCAGTTACACTCTGGGGACAAGGAAGAAAAGTTTTTTTAACAGGATACTTTATTAATGTATTTAGACTCTCACTGTGGCAGGTGTAGTCCTGAGCATACAGCCCCTCCCCACAGGCCTCCACACACTGGCCCTGGTGGAGAAGTAGTCCGCCTGGACACAAGGTGCACTGGGATACCGAGGGACCCCAGCAGGAGGCACAGGAGCTGTGGCAGGCTGGGGACACAAAGAAAATAAGGATGTAAGATCTTTAGTCTGATACACAGAACTACCCATGAAACAGGAAGTAACTTAGTAAGCTCAGTAGAACCTGACACTTTAACTATTTGGTAAAATTTATGTATGAATTTAAGGGTTTGACCCTTAAATAAAATGGCACAAACTGTGTAGGTTACAGGATTTATTTTAGAAGTTTTCTTCTCTAATTAAAGTAATGAGAAGCTTTTAATAGGGCTGAAGTCTCGGTTTGGGTTTTACCCGTTGGACAGATGGCCTCACGTTTGACCTTGAATACTTTTGTAAACAGAGGAGCTCATGGTGGACTCAGAAATTGCAAGGTGCCAGGTAACATAGCTGCACAACAAGCTCTTAATTGTAGGTATGAGGTGTTTGTATGTATATGCTATTATTTGACAAACATGCTGTGCATGATGTCCAAACATCTCCACTTCAGAGCAAACACTTACCTCTGCATCTGCTTTGGCTGTCCAGGTAATGCTGAGCTGGACACTGGCTGAGACATTTCCCATGATGCAAGGCAGTCCCCGGTGGGCAGCTCATACATTTGGGGTTGTCGGGAAAACAGGAGGCACAGGACGAATCACAGGCTGTGAAGCGCAGCGTGTAAACGTTAATGGCTTTTTGTTGGCATGACAAAATGCACTGAGGTCAATTTAAAACTGGCTGAATTATCTACAAGCAAGAGGAAAGTCTCCTAAACAAACAGTCCTTCAAATACAATCAAAAGTCACTTAGGCAAGACAACAACGAGTCCAACTTTTAATGACAGAAACTGGAAAGCAGATGTCTGAAAAGATGAACAAAAGAGGTAAAAGGCAACAAATAATCTAAAAAAAATCCAACAATGGATCAAATCTTCACTCTCAGGTACCTGAGGTATCTTAGCATAACATGCACACACTCACTAAACCGTTCCCTCAGCAGGTGGTTTTGCTGCAGCATACTTGAGATGAAAAAAAAAAGAAAATCTTTCACTTCTAAAGTCCCAGGAAGCCCCGCGGAGGAAAAGCCCTTCAGCTCTCTCAGGATGGTGACATTTTAAACCAGGCCTCAAAGCGCTGGCTGGCAAGTTCAAATGGATTTGACCTTTTTCTAGAAAGTTCCATTGGTTTTTTGACATTTTCTGAAAGAGGGCTCCTCACTGAGCGCTTCAAAACTGTCCTGTGAGCAACAGCAGAAGAAAAGCCCACCCCACCATCCCTCTGGGTCTTTTTAACCAAAAGAGCTTGGCTAAGTTCACCGTCGCCCTGAGGGGGGACTATTCTTACTCTTCCTCATCTTACCACTCAGAAATAGAAAGCATCCATATTCATATGGGATCTATTTATTTCAGAAGCCTCAGACTCCTCATTAGTGCGAGAGAGAATCGCTAATTATTGTATTTTTTTTTTAAATTGTTTGTTTGCTACTGCTGCCTTATCATTTTGACATCATGCCGAGTGGATGCTGCAGGAAGCTCCGCGGGGGGGAAGACACCCAAATAAATCTTCACCTTCAGTTCACTGCTAACAATAAACTTTCCATCGTCTCAGATAGTGTCTACTGTTTACTGCATTGGGCAACGGCACTTCGTGGGAATGTGACCATTCACTCGCCAGTCTCCCAGAGGAGAAATTACATTTAAAAGCATAAGTGTTACCTGCAATTTGAAGTGCTTTATGTACAAAGAGTCTAACTGCTGCATTAAAGAGAACAGAAAATGGATTAAAACGCCTCTACAGAAGAACCACGGTGTCTGAGTCATTATTATAAAGAAATACAAAAAGTTTATATCTTGTTTTCATGTCTTCACTTCATTTTAGTTCTCCCAAAAGGTTTTTGCTTCATTTCCTTGAAGCTGTTCAAAGAAAATCTTTGAAAAGGGAAAATCACAGACTGTCACAAAATCTGAAGGCTAAAATGAAACTGGCATTATTTAGTACAAAAAGAAAAACAACACTGAGTCTATTCACTTTAGTACGGAAGCGTAGAGCTGCCAACCAGGCAAAACAAAAGCAGCTATTTCATGTTATAATGTGAAAACTTTATTGTTCTAACAATAACTTTTTCATATAAAAATGATAATATGAAAAAGATAATGTTATGTTATTACATAGCTATCACATTATCACACGTTATGCCTCAATCCAAGCATAAAATACAACTTAACTAGTTCCGATAAACGAGCCATTTTCTCGAACTATGTTTTAAGGCAAACAAATATATCATGTTCGAAAAATAAAAAATATGTTTTAACGTTAAAACTTTATTTTTCAAACAATATAATAATCTCGTTCGTACAAAATAATATTTATATTGTAAGAACATTAAAGTTTTGTTGTTATAACGTGATAGTTATGTATATTGTAATAAAGTGATATTATGTTGTTCAAAGATGAAAAGTATATCGTTAGAACAATAAAGTTTTCACGTTATAGATATGTGTGTATATATATCAGATATTTATATGATATAACCCTCATTTCCTTTTGCCTGGCTGGCAGTTCTGTGCTTCCATACGCTCGACCTGTAGAGGATAAAATCATTGTATTTTAAACACATTGATTCAAACTAAAACATTTTGGTTGGGTTTAATTAACAGAGGGAGGCAAATCAGAGATTGTAGCTTCCTGAGACGGCTCATAGTGCTGTTTATCCATCTAGAATGTTTGGTAGCAGTTGGCCGGATAAGTTAATATATAATAATAATAAAAACTCTTAATATAATAACAATTTTGTGGCCATTTACTGTCATGACATTCGAGGGAAAGTGGACACATCTACAGCTGATAACTTCAAAACTGGCCAACGAAACTACATGTGCACAAATCACCACAAGCTAGAGGTAAACTGATTCCTTAAAGAAGATATATTTGGGCTTTCTGGATGGTGATGTACTCAAACCATCCGTGCATATATATATACACCTAATGTTTTGTGTTGGATCTTATATTAGCTTGGCATCTGTGGAGTTGCACTACTTTTAGTAAAGACGTCAGCAAAAGTGCTATTTCCACTAAACCAGCCAAAACTGAAACTCAGCTAAATGTCTTCAGTGCTGCAGTGTGGATATGTGTCAGCTTTACCGTGGCAGACGCCTTCTCGACTGTAGAAACCTGCGCCACAGTCAAGGACGCACGCCCCGTCTTTCAGCAAGGCGACCAGGTCTGAGCACGACACGCACTCCTGCTGACTCGGCCCACGACACTCCGAGCACGACTCGTGACAGTCTGAAAAATAAGAAAACAGAAAATAGATTCTTTGCTTTCAGTCCTAAAGCACCACGAGGTCTGATTTTTTGCCCCTTTCCTGAACAGAAACACATACAGTACAGCACGGTAGGTGGGACTAGGTCGAAATGGATAAATGTGATTGTAGCGGAGAACCTGAATCATGCCAAATGTAGAAGAAACAATCTGAATTATGCAAATCCTGCAAGCGCAGTTTGCAAAAGTTCTGCGATATACTGCATGCGATTTGTAGTAAACAGTATAAATAATTCAAAAACACTGATCCTTTACAATAACAGTTTTATTTCCATAACGCAGTTCGTGCATTAACAAAATATTCAAGGTTGTAAAAACAACAAAGAAAATAAGTGAGATAATCAGGGTCGTTCAACAAGTATCTACAGGATCTAATAAAGCTTGTTTGCGTGTGCGACTGTGTGTGTCTGTGTGGTCTGCATAGTTGCCATTATCAGTGGTGCTCTATTAGCTGCTGTTAAAAAAAGCACTAACAAGCCTCACAGCAGTGCCGACAAACACAGAGTGGGAGGCTAACGGGGCGAGCTGTGCGGGAAGAGTTCATGCGTGTGACTGAGGGAGACACACGTGTATGCACGCACATACGTACAGGCTAAAAGTACCTTTGAGATTAAATGCGGGAGATGATTGTGCGCCTTTGCATACACCTGCACCTTTATCTCTGTGTGTGTCCCTTCGTGTGTGCCCAAACAGAAGCAGCAAAAAACCCATCTCAGCACTAACTGGTATGATTACCTGTGATTTCCCAGCGGCACACAGAATGAAGCCAGATGCAGCAAGTGCTACAAAATAAAACTGACAGAAACCAGATAAAAACAAACCTACAAAAAAAAATGCAGAAGGAATGTGAAAACTACACTTTTAGGTTTCTTCTAGTTTCTTCTGAGTCACCTTCACATATCATTCATGAGAATCTGCAATCTTTATATGAAAGCTTTTCTGTTCATCATCCTCATCATGATCTGGGAAACATTGTAACCTCAGTGAAGTTCAGGTTTTGTCCAACTTTCCCTCAAGTTGCAAAGAATCCTGAAACCTGTGGAAGTACCTCCAAAGTCCATGAATCCTTCCTGCAAAGACTGTGGATTTCCCTCTGGGCGCCATCTTTACACTCATACTGGATCAATGTATTCTGATATGGGTGGAAGCCGACGCTGGTTTATAAGATAGTGAATCTGTTAGCTCACCGGTTTCTCTCACCTCATGAAATCCAAAGAAATTTATTTTATAAGGAAAAAAACGGCAGAGTGGTGCAGTGGTTCTGACTGCTGCTCCACAGTATGAAGGTTCTGGGCCTTTCAGTGTGGTGGTTACATGTTCTCCTTGGGTTTTCTCCAGGTACTTCCTCCATCAGTCTAAAACATGCATGTGAGACTTGCTGAAGTGAATGGTCTGTCTCTGACAGAGTGGCAACTTATCCTGGGTTCACCCCACTTCCCACTCAGTGACAGCTGAGAAAGTGGTTAACAGAAAGGATGAGGAACCCCAGCAGAATATCTGTATATTAGGAGTTCTTACAGGAACTCGGAGCGTAATGCACCAGGATCAGGAATACTCTCTAAAGCCTTTTGACTTTTTTAAGTAAAGCTGTGCAGGATCTCATTTTTCCGAGGACTAGATCTCATTTTCTGCCTTTTCTGTTGCCCATCCTCAGCTTGTCAAATGTAAGCACCTAGCTGGATCTCATTTTAAAGCACTCTGAACCTTGGAAATATAGATTAGTCCACTACACCCAATTGGAGCTGGGCGATATGAGATTTTTTCATATCACGATATGTTTTTTTCATTTCAGGCGATAACGATATCTATCACGATATAAGCCAAATAACTATATTTGTAAGATTTAAATGTGCCGTTGCTCACAAGTAAAATGTGAAATAATCAGCAGCTTGTTTTTATTTAAATATTTATTTCCCATAATAAGTTCAACAGGGTAGATGTACTTAAGGAACATGAGACTTTTTCAGATAAATAAAGGCAAATATTGCAAACTACACAAAAGGCAGCCGCTAAAGCGTTTAAGTTTCAAAATAGAACAAACGAAACAGACTAAATTGTCAATTCCACTTAGAAACAAAATATTAATTCTAAAAATAAATCTTAGTTTGTTTTACAGAAGAACAGACAAAACTGACTAACTTTTGTCAATATCAAATAAACTGAGAACTAAAAGGAAATTCTCAATCTCTCCTTGTTGTATAGCTAGCTTTTCAAACAGTTTTAACAGTTACTTTAGTCTGACAAAAGCCGAATGACGAATTAGCGCTTCCAGTCAGAGACTGAGGCTACGTCCACACGTACACGGGTATTTTTGAAAACGGAGATTTTCCGTTTTCGTTTTAAAAAATAATCCCGTCCACACATAAAGGCAGAAATGAAGGAAAACGCTGCTATGAACATGCCAAAGCAGCAGGTGGCGCTAGATTCCTAACCGTGCAGAAATGTTGGCCAATCAGAAGTCTAGAAGCCTCGGTGGGAAAAAGTAAACAAAGCTGGGGCATAGAAGCAGAACCGAGTCGTATGTGTGGAGGGACAGTAACTGTGTGTATATGTAAGCATTTAAACACTGCAGAGAGTAGAATTAACAGTAACAGTATTGTAGAAATTCATTTCACCGAAACAATAACGTGGCGCACAGTGTGACGCATGCACCAGTTTATTGTATTTCCAGACTTGCTTTCGGCACAATTTACAGTGCACGCTACTCTGTTTTTTGTCAGACTTGAAATAGCCGAAATACCTTCACACTACGGAACTTCTATGGCTCTTCCGTTCGACAATCTCTCCGGCGTTGGAACCATCATCTGTTTTCTCTTCGGTCACGCTCGGTTGATTTTTCTAGTCGGCACACTCATTTCCTCCATTACCCGCTGGCTGCTTCCCAAACAAACACACGTGCGGCTTGGCACTTGTGCTGTACGTAACAAGTCACGCGACGTGATGCTGCGGCTGTGATTGGTTCGGCTCTGCGCTACTTAATTTGGATTGGCTGACCTTTTATTTTTTTCTCTTTTTTTTTTTTGGAGGACAAGAGCGGCGAAGTCTATCGCGATAGTTTAATTTCTCTATCGATTAAAAGTTATATCGCAATACATATCGTTATCGTTCTACCGCCCAGCTCTACACCCAATTATAGGACGCAGACAGCCCAGACCAAAGCAGTCACGGTGATATGGAACAAAACTACGGTGAAGCTTATCACAAACACAGAATCATCTTTTACTCCACACCACAATGTTTTAGTTAACCCAGCCATATTGTTTTTTAGGCTTCAGCCTAATCAGACACCAAAAGATCAGAAACCCAAGTCTCTCTCTCTCACACACACAAAGGGAACAGCACCAATACACCTGCTACAAGGCTCAGGTAAAGGACCTACACACAGGACAAAGGAGAACGATAAAAAGCAATTTTTGATACTAAGCTGATACACGGGCCCAACAAAGCCTGACAGAAAAAAGCAAAAACACTAGAAAGTTGGGAGGCTTACAAAAGAATCGAGGCAGGGATGTAAGAGAACACAGCGTGAGGAACACAAGCGACAAACGGACAAAACACAAGGAAAACACAAGGAGGAAGTCGTGTAAGTTCTAATACGATAGCACTTTACACATACTTAACAGCTTCATTTATTATTCACTGGATGTCCCTTTGTGAAAGGTCAAAGGTTAAAAGTGAAACAGTAGATCTAAAAAAGTTAAAGTTGAGAAATAAACCACGGCTGGGGATTAATGAGGCACGAGAAGTGAGACAAAACTGATCAAGACAAGTGAATATCACGCCGAGGAAAGTGTAATTAATTTAATCAGTGTCACTGAAAACTGCTGATAAAAATCTGAGTGAATTAATGGGAGATGCCAGAAGCTGTGTTATTGCAAAAGTTGTTGGAAAGCAGTGTGAGATAAATCTCTGGCTCCCTCGTGCCTGTTGATACAGATTTCCTCAGGTAACCGCATTCGTATCTTTTAATAACTTTCTCTGCATCCTCCTCTTTATCATCTGCACATATTCCCCACCAGGATCACTATAAACTTTTTATATTTAATCAAAACATCCTGCGCACGCGCACACACATGATTTTCTATGACGGATACCTTCCATCCAGATTTTATAAAATAAGGGATATTTCATGTAGATTTGATTTGCCTTAAAAACTTCACATTTACTGAATTTCTTTTACCCAATTCGCTCGCACTGTCTCATCTTTTTTTTTTAATCTTTTCAAATTAAGAATAAAAACTGAGATTTTCTCAGCTGGGTTAAAAGTTCATGGATAACTTTTCAGAGGTCCAAAAAAGAGACAGAATCTGGTGAGCAGCAGTTCTCTGAGCAACGATGCCTTGCTCGTGTCAGAGGTCAGAGGAGAATGGCCAGACCTCTTTGAGCTGATAAGGAGGCTACAGTAACTCAAATAGTCATTCATTACAACCAAGCTCGGCAGAAGTGCACCCCTGAATCCAAAACAACAGCAGCAGAAGACCACACCAGGTGCCACTGCTGTTACAACTAGACTGGAAAACACTGCCTGGTCTGATGTGTCTTGATTTATGGAATCAGATGGCAGGCACAGTTTGGTAAACTACCAGCCGAGCATCATTTAAACACTACAGCTTTATGTGAAGATACACACGGTGTTCATCTTCTGGTGGCTGCTTCTAGCAGGATATGTCACCATGTCTCACCATGTTTCCTGAACATGACAGTAGCCGAGTGTATTTTTGTCTTTTTATGTTGACATGCAGCTTCAAAAACTTGAGAACAAGCTGATGAAAACTCCATTAAATTCCCACCACACTCCCTGCCGGTGGCTGATGCCTTTGGCTTTGTGCACTCTGACACAGCTGGCACATTACTCCAGCCCCCTCTGGCTTCTGCTCTGTGGCTGCTGGGTGAGCCCTCGTCTGGGGCTCTCCTCAGCTCCTCCCAGGAGGGTGGCACGGTTGCCCCTCTGTTGGTTCTCCTTG